GAGACTGTGAAATAGTTGAGTTTGAGTGTGTGTCTGTGAGTGTGTATCTGTTCATCTCTGGACATGAGTGGAGTGTGTGACCTTGAGTGTGCAGAGGTCACTGTGTGTGGAGTGTGTGGAGGGCCTGCCTAACTGTTCTGTGTGTGTGGCTGGAGTGTGTGTGTGTGTGTGTGTGTGAGGGGCCCAGACCCAATGCCTGAGCCCACTTTCTTCCCTTTCTGCCTCTTTCTGTCTGTGTCTGATTACCCCTGGGTCTCCCTCTGTGGGTTTCTCTCTCCCATTCTGGCCCTGCATCTCCCCATGTCTGTCTCTGTCTCTGGCTGCCCTGTCTCCCAGCCTCATTTTCTCTCTCTCTTCCTGTTCCTCTCTCTGCCACTGACCTCGGAGCAGTGGCCTTGGGTGTGGGCTCTGCCATGAGCCCTGTGGGGGTGCCTGCTGTGGCTCAGGGCCCACGGGGATGGCTTCTGGGGTCCCAGGGCTATTCCCACACTTGGCCCCTTTCCAGGAGCCCCAGAACTAGGGGAGCAAAAGAGAGGGAGGATGTGGTCCTACAGGCCCAGAAACCCACTCAGGCCCAACTGTGTTGTGGCTATAGGCCCCATGAGCCCTATGGCCAGTGACAGGCAGACATCAGAGCAGCAGGAGCAGGAGCTGATCCTGGTGGGTCCTTGGCTGACTCTAACAGACCCTGGCTGAACTTTGCTAATCCTGGCTGGGCTTGGCCTCTGTGAGGCCTGATCCTACCCCACAATCCCCAGATAGGGATGAGGGGACTGTTCCCTCCAAAAGGTTCCCAGTTGACACAGGAGGGAGGAATAGAAGTAATGGGGCCCATCCTCATCCTTCAGGACATGATGGCCGAGGCCAGTAGGCCTGATGCTGTGACATGCTGGAATCTCCAGGGTTGGCTGGTCCACCCACATGCAGGCACCTATCTGGATGCCCCTATATGCCCCTATATGCCCCTGGCTGTCCCTGAGCTGACCTGTGTGATTCCGATGACCCTGACTGACCCTGGGCTGACCTTGGTCTAAACCTGTATGAACGTGGCCTCCCTGAGGCCTGACCCTGGTTGACCTGGTTGATCTAGGCTGACATTCGTTGATTCAGGGTGATACCAAGTGACCCTGGGCAGTCCCTGGCTGACCCTGAGATGTGGGGCCTGTTGTGTGGTAGGGCTGGGGTATTGCAGGCCTTGGTGGGGGTCTCACTGTCCGGGAAGCACTCTTCTGGGCTCTGGTCCATTGCCCAGCCCCCAGGCCCATCTGGCCAAGTTTCAGTTTTTGGGCCTGATCTCAGAACAGCAGGCTCTGGCTGGGACACCTGGGCTAGGCTGTGCTCACAATGACTCAGCTGCCCCAGAGGGTTATTTTGAAAGTTTCAGCAGGTGATCAGGCACAGGAGCCTTGAGAAGAATGAGAAAAACAAGAGAAACAAATACCACTGCCTCCCCCTCATGTTCCCACCCCATGAACCCAAGCACTCTCTCACCATGGGGACCTCTGAATGTGGAGACCCCTCATAGACAGGGGTCTGACTCAGGCCACCTGATCCTGGGATGATTCTCTTTCTACCAAGTCAGCCTGGCACCTACACACCTCTCTGGAACCTGGAAAGGATGAAGCCAGGTGCTGGTTCATCACTTCATCCCCACCAGTGCCCAGACCAAGATGGGGAAGGGCCCCTGGGAGGCTCCCTGTCCTCCAGGTGGGTCAGTTGTTAGAGAGGGTCAGGGATCAGGACCCAGGTCAAGGGAGCAGGACTCAGGAGCTGAGAAAAGGTGATACAGAATGATGAGAACATTTCAGAGGCAGGATAAGTGGGAATAAGACCATGACCTGGCCGAGTAATAAGGACCACAGATGAGGACCAAAACCAGTGCCCACATACCAGGACCAGGTCTACATGATCTGGCCAGGGCCTAATGAGCAGGATCAGGTCTAGTGAGCAGGATCAGGGCCCAGAAATCAGGACCATGGCTCAGGGAATAAGACCAAGGCTCAGGGATGAGAACCAGAGCTCAGGGATCAGGACCAGAACTCAGTGAACAGGACCAGGGCTCAGTGAGCAGAACCGGCACCCAGGGATCATATCCAGGTGTCAGGGAAAAGGACCAGGGCTCACTGAGCAGGACCAGGGCCCAGGGCTCAGAACCAAGGCTCAGGGATCAAGACCAGGGCTCAGGGATGGAGATCAGGACTCAGTGAGCAGGACCAGGGAGTTGGGCCCATTTCTTGTGAGGGGGTCTTGTTTTATGTTGCCCTTGGTGACACCAGCTTTTATAGACCTGTGCCTATGCAGGACCTGGTCTGGTGGCCTAGGCAAGGGGATCTTCTCCATGTCCACTGTGAACCTGGTCCTGAAGCTGGTATCCTCTCTGGGTAGCCTCATAGTTCCCTGCCCCTCCCTTCACTCAGAGTCAGAGAACATCTGAATTTGTATGAGTTTATTATACTAGGATGACTGCGTGGGTATGCGTGGTTGGCTTCCAAAATACGCTGAGCTTGGGATCCCGCTGGGCTTGAGAAGTCTCTTCCATGCTCCTCCCTGCAAACATAGGAGGATTAGTTCTGAGAGTTCCTGATGCGGCAGGCTCCTTGTCAGTGCCCCAGTCCCAGCCTTGGGCTGGCTCACAGGAGACTGAACCGAATCCTGGACTGACTGTACTTGGTGAGAGGCAGGTGCCCTGAGCCTGTTGATCCCTAGCCTGTCCATGTTCTTGGTGTCTGGGAGGGACGACCTCCTGGGAGACAAGACACCTCAGTGCACATGCTTTCTGGGAGCCAAGTGCCACCCCCCCAACAAATGAGCCCACTGTCTTGTCTCTTAGCCTCCCCACCTGGGCCTGGTTGGCTCCTGCTCAGTACTGGGGCCCCTCTCGGCTGCCAGGTGGGCCCCGGACGCTGGTCACGGTCAGTGCCGTACTGTAGAAGAGGCTGAGCAGGAAGAGTGTGAGCAGGGTGACGGTGGTGGGCCATAGACTGGCTCCCGGGGTGTCTTCCTCCAAGTTCTCCTGTGGCAGGTCCATCACCACCCAGGACAGCGGCCTTCGACAATCTGCAAGACACTGAGAGTCTGCCAGGCATGCACCTGAGTGGGTGGGGGCTAAGTCAGCACCCTCCCTTCCTAGTACCCTGGGTCGAGACAGCAGCAGTGTGGTTCCTTGTCTCATGGGGTTGAGGCCTCCTTAGGGAGGACAAGGTGGCTGGAAGTGGCTGGGATCCTCTCTGCTCTTAAGATGTCTAACAGACCCTGTCTTTGAGGGTGTCAGCACACCTTAGGGAGAGAGATTGGCAGGGTGAGAGGGTGGGCACTGTCTTTGCTGTTCTAAGGAGAACTCAGGCCCAAGGCCTCCTGGATCTCATCCCTGTGTTCTGACCAAGCTCCTGCTCTTGGGCTGGACTGACCTGGGCACGGTCCACCCTCAGCTGTTCTGGTTTGAGACACAGGTCTGAGTCTGTGTTCAATATGCTGAGGGCCCAATGGGCCCTCTGTTGCCCTCCTAGAGAATGTTCCTGATGAGCTATGAGGAGCATGAAGGAGGGCCAGGTGAAGGCCACCAGGCTGCTCTGCTGTCTTTAGGGTCCTCAGGCACAGACCTCCCATGTTAAATGGGGTTTGCACATGCTTGTCATATGCTGACATATTCGGTCATTCATTTGTTCACCCATGCATGCGTCCATCCACCCATCCAGTTGTGTATCCTTTCATTCATCATGTGTCCTGTGGTCCTTCCACATATCTGCCTGCTGTCTGTCTGTTGGTTCAGTCCCTCATCTGCTTATTTCTTCTCCCTTCCCTGCCTCCTTAGGAATCTTTTCCTTGGGCGGGTCCTGGGTCCCTGGAAGCTGGAAACCTTCACTATGGCAGCATCTCCCCAGTTAACACCTTGTTCTCCCTGCTTCCCTTTGGTGACTGGATCCTCAAGAGGGGAGCAGTAGGCAGGGCATCTAGGGGTCCCCACTCCACCTTGGCCCTGGGAGAAGAGGGAGGCAACCAGAAGGTGTCTAAGACAAGTGCCAGGTATCCTAGGGGGTCATGGGACTGTCCTTCCTGTTATGTTTCCCCTGGCTGCCTCTCCTTCTGCCAGGAGCCCTGCACAGGAGCTGGGAGGGCCCTGTCCCTCTGACCCCTACCCCCTCCTGTCCACACCCTATGCTTTAGGCCATACTTGGATTCAGGGAGGAATGGGAAGCTTCAGTCTGGGGACCAGGAAGGGATCAGAGGCTGCCATAGATGGGGTCTGTGAAATTGTTCCCTGAGCTGTGCCCAGCTGAGCAACTGAGAAGCCTGAGTCCAGGAGGGACCTGGGAAAAACCTGTTGGGGGCTTTCATGGGGATTCCCGCTGCCTTCCCCAGGCAGGGCCTGGGCTGTGAACTTTCTACACCTGCAAGGTTCAGATGTGAGCACATCTAAATGAGTGTGAGCACACGGGGGACATGTGTGTGCCCATGTAAGTGTGTGCATGCAGAGAACATGTGAGCATGCAGGGATATGTGTGTGCCCATGTTAGTGTGAGCACGTGGAGGGCATGTGTGCACCCATGTGCACACAGAGCTGTGTGATGCAGGTGGGGAAGAGTGCCCAGGTCGGGGTCCCTTCTTTGTGAGTCAGTGGGACGGGCCTGCATCTTAGTGTCATGCCCACTGTGGGTGTGAGGGGCCCCGGAACCCAGCCCTCCTGCCGTGGTCTTCCCCTCATGCCCTGACCCTCAGGTGGCAGTGGAAGACACTTCCTCGGCCACCTAGCTCCCTTCTGCCTCCTCCCCTCCTGCTGCCCCGCTGCCCTGCTGCTTGTCTTTCTGAGACACTGTTTATGCCTGCCCCTGGTTATGCCTGCTTCCCACAACTCTGCCACCCCAACTTTCACCTCAGCTTGGTCTCAGTCACCATGCACTCACACTTCTGCTCACTCACACACACACTCGAGCCCATGGGCGTGAGGGCATGTCACAGGGCCAAGCCGAGAGGACCAGACAGGTGCCAGAGGGACGTGTGGCTGCTTTGAGCCAGCATGGAGTTTATTCAAGGGTAAGGTGGGCAGGTGGGGCTGCTCAGTAGCAGGTGCCCTCCACCTCCGACAAGATTACAGACACGTTGACGTGGGTGGGTTTACCCGCCAGGCGGTCGATGGTCTTCTGGGTGAAGTTCCGGGGCAGGGCCTCATGGCCCACCATGCAGGAGAAGTTGTCCCCATTCTTCCACTGCTCAGCCTCCACACGCAGCACACTGGTCACAGCAAATGTGGTGCCTTGGGCGTCCTCCTGCAGGGGGCTCCAGGTCAAGTACTTATCTCGGGGCAGCTCCTGGTCCCCGTGCAGCCACAGCACTAGCACGTCACGGGGGCTGAAGCCCCGCACCAAGCATGTCAGTGTCACCATCTCATTGAGGGCCAGCTCCTCTGAGGGTGGTGGCAGCAGGTGGACCTGGGGCAGCAGGAGGTTCCCTGAGAGAGTAGAGGAGGCAAGTCAGGGGTGTGGGCAGAAGAGAGAGGCCCTCTGCCCGCTGAGCGCCCTGTACCCCATTTCCATCTGTAAAATGTGGGTGGGGCACCCGTGTCTGGAGAGACAGACTTAGGCATGTATATGCCTTACACACTTGAGTGGTGGCACCTCTTGGGTGGGGTCAAGGCCCACCTGATGGTTTGGTGATGGTGGCAGTTAGTGGGGTTTTAGACTCAGGATAGTTGACAGTGCATGAGAAGGTGTCCCCACGGTTCCACAGCTCGGCACAGCCTGGCAGAATGCTGGACACGCTGTAGCAGCCAAAGGAGTCACGCTCAGCTGTCCCCTGGATAGCCTCCTTCCCACCTGTGGGCTTCCAGGTGAACGTGACACCCTTGGGGTCTTGTAGGCCACTCAGTGTGCACGTGATGTTGGCATTGAAGCCTAAGAGCAGGTCCTCGAGAGCAGGCCGATGCATTGTCAGGTGGGGCTGGCAGCATGACTGTGGACAACACTTTGCTCCTGAGAGAGAGGCAGAGCTGTCAGCACAGCTGTGCCTGCTCATCCCCTTCCCTCCCTCCTGATCCAGCCTCGGCCCCACTCTGGCCACCCACGGGGGACTCAGTCTGAGCCCACTCTTGCCTGAGGGGAGCCCCAGTCGGGGATGTGGTACCACCATGGGAATCTGAAGGCCCCCACCCATCCCTGGCCCGACCTCTGACCTGTGGAGCAGGGCACATCCACAGCCTGGCTTGGATTGGAGTTGTACTTCACGTGGCATTTCTGAGTTCCTTTCTTTGGGCACTGGTCAGCGGGTAGGGTCAGCTGGCTGCTCATGGTGTAGAGGCCCCCAGCAACTTGCACAGGGGGGAAGTTCATGATGGAGGTGCCTTTCCCATTGTGGTCCCAGGTCACGTTCACGGACCCCGGGGGAAAGAAATCCTGGACCAAGCAGCCAATGACTACATGACCGGCTGGGTCAGTGCTTTGGAGACTCAGTGGGAAGGACCTGGGGCTGACTGGGTCCGCTGCAACACAGAAGGATGCACTGTGAGACCCCCGAGACAGCCCCATAAGGACAGGACAATGCCCACCTCATCTCTGCCCTGGGGAAAGAGCACAGAGAGGGTCACTGGTTGCCCCAAAGTCCCTCAGTTTATATGTCAAGAATCTGAGGTTTGGACTGGCTGTCAAGTGCAGCTGCACTGAGTCTGAACATGCTCCTTGGAGCTCCAGCACATGGACTGGATACACTCCTTAAGAAGGCCACCCCCATATCAACTCATGGTCATTACACATGACTCTCCACTGACCAACAGAGTCTGTGGGCAGTGCTGAGCCTCAGCCCCCTCTGTGCAGTGGTTACAGCCATACTCTCTCCCTGAGTTTGGGGGTCATGAAAAGTGGGCCATGATGGGGGACACAGGCAAGCACAGAGGGGTCTGGACTTGAAGCTCGGCTTGCCTTGGGGCCAATGTAGCTGTAGTGGAGGGCACACTGGGAAAGAGAGGGGACCTGAGTCTTCTGTGGCCCCCACTCAAACTTCCCAGGGCAGGGCCCAGGTCAAACCACCCCACTCTACTAACACCACCCCAGCTCCCAAACAAGCAGAGGTCCACCTCATGCACTATGGGGGTCTCAAGACAAGAGGCCTAACCAAATCAGCCCTTCAAAGATATCCTTCCTGGACAGGCTGGGCACACAGGGCCCCCGCTTGTACTCCCTTCAAGGCCACTAGTGATGGGACAAGGGACGACACAGGGCACAGGTACACCTGAGACTGCATGACCCTCATGCCCCTAAAATGGGGCAACCTGAGCAGTGAACAGGATCAGGATCATCCAGGGATGATCCACACTGAACCCACCTCCTTCCATTCACCAACTGCTAGCAGCCCAACCCAGCTCAACCCAGCTCAGCTCAACTCAGCTCAGCCCATCTTGGCCCAGCTCGGCCCATCTGAGCCGAACTCAGCTCAGCCAAACTCAGCACAATTCAGCTCAACTCAGCCCAGCTCAGGGCAGTTCAGCTCAGCCCAAATCAGCCAAACTCATTTCAACTCATCTCAGTCCAGTTCAGCCCATATCAGCCCAATTCAGCTTAGCCCAGCTCAGCCCAACTTAGCTCAGGCCAAATCAGTCAAACCTAGCCCAAGTCAGCTCTGCCTAACTCAACCCAACTCAGCCCAGCCCAGCTCGGCTCAGCTCAGCCTCATTCAGCTCAGCCGGCCAGGCTCAGACTAGCTCAGCCCAGTTCATTCCATCTCAGCCCATCTCAGCCCAGTTTATCTCAGCCTAGTTCAGCTCAGCTAAACCCAGATAATTCCAGCTCAGCTCAGGCCAGATCATCCCAGTTCAGCTCAGCCCAACTTAGCCCAACTCTGCCCAACTCAGCCCAGTTCAGCCCAGCTCATCTTAGCCCAGTATAGATCAGCCAGCTCAGTCCAGTATGGCTCAGCTCAGCCCAGTTCAGCTCAGTTCAGCTCAGCCCAGGTCAGATCATCCCAGTTCAGCTCAGCCCAGCTCAGCCCAGCTCAGCCCAGTTCAGCCAAGGTCAGATCATCCCAGTTTAGCTCAGCCCAGCTCAGCCCAGCTCAGCCCAGCTCAGCTCAGGTCAGATCATCCCAGTTCAGCTCAGCCCAGCTCAGCTCAGTTCAGCTCAGCCCAGTATGGATCAGCCCAGCTTAGCCCATTTCAGCTCAGTTCAGCTCAGCCCAGGTCAGATCATCCCAGTTCAGCTCAGCCCAGCTCAGCCCAGTTCAGCCCAGCTCAGCCCAGCTCAGCCCAGCTCAGCTCAGGTCTGATCATCCCAGTTCAGCTCAGCCCAGCTCAGCCCAGCTCAGCTCAGGTCTGATCATCCCAGTTCAGCTCAGCCCAGCTCAGCCCAGCTCAGCCAAGCTCAGCCCAGCCCAGTTCAGCTCAGTTCAGCTCAGCCCAGTATGGATCAGCCCATTTCAGCTCAGTTCAGCTCAGCCCAGCTCAGCTCAGCCCAGTTCAGCTCAGTTCAGCTCAGCCCAGTATGGATCAGCCCAGCTTAGCCCATTTCAGCTCAGCCCAGTTCAGCCCAGTTCAGATCATCCCAGTTTAGCTCAGCCCAGCTCAGCCCAGTTCAGATCATCCCAGTTCAGCTCAGCCCAGCTCAGCCCAGCTCAGCCCAGCTCAGCCCAGCTCAGCCCAGTTCAGCTCAGTTCAGCCCAGTTCAGATCATCCCAGTTTAGCTCAGCCAAGCTTAGCCCAGCTCAGCCCAGCTCAGCCCAGTTTATCCCAGCCCAGCCCAGTTTATCCCAGCCCAGCCCAGTTTATCCCAGGCCATTTTAGTCCAGCATACATCAGCCAGCTCAATCCAGTATGGCTCAGCTCAGCCCGGCTCAGCTCAGTTCAGCTCAGCTCAGTATAGATCATCCCAGTTCAGCCCAGCTCAGCCCAGTTCAGTCCAGCTCAGCCCAGTTCATTCCAGTTCAGCTCAGCTCAGCCCGATTCATCCCATCTTAGCCCAGCTCAGCCCAGCTCAGCCCAGCTTAGCCCAGCTCAGCCCAACTTAACCCAGCTTAGCTCAGTTTAACTCAGTTCAGCCCAGCTTAGTTCAGCCCAGTTCAGTCCAGTTCAGCCCAGTTCTTTCCAGTTCAACTGTGACCTACCCACAACAGCCCACCTCATTCCTATCTGGGTAGAGTATCCTGTCCTGTGGTCCTCTTGGCTCTTGGAGGTTGGTTGACTTTCCCCCTCTACCCTCTGTCTTGCTGCCGTTTTCCACACCCTTGCTCCCTGGAGGGCTCAGAGTGCCTGGCCAAGGAGGAAATGAGGCCTGACCAGCATCTGGGGCCCAGCTGCTGAAGATTGTTGGAGAGGCCACCAAGGCCAAGAGACCCAGGCATGCCTTGGCCAGATGCCCGGTGGTACAGGTCCATTCTCAAGCCCTTTGCAGAGGAGCTGGAGCAGGGAGATGGCCAGGTCTCATTTAGGACCTGCCTGATGGCTGTGTGGCTGCAGCAGACCCCTGCCCCATTCTGGGCCCTTGTTCACTCTGGGGTGAGGCTGACGCTGAGGGGCAGTTTGGGGAGGGGCTTCAGACTGTGTCATGAATCTGGTTGGGGTCACTTTCCCACTTCCTGTCCCGCCAGTCACGGCCGCACATCTCCACGTCATGTCTGGTATGTGGTCTGGCTGTGGCAAGGCCAGGTGTATGCCTGGGCTGTGACCCCCAGGAGCCTGACCTTGACTGTGGTGGGTCCTGGCTCCAGTTGGCTGCTCACTGGGCTGGGCGGGGTGCTGAGATGCAGGGATGCAGGGTTGAAGCATGTGCAGTGGGGGCTCAAGGACCCTGAGGCAGAGTTGGCCCCAGAGTGGAGGCTGTGAGTGCTGGCGTGTCACTCACAGGGGTCCCGAGGCACAGGGCTTGTCCTGAGTGACTTCCAGTGAGCAGGCCACAGGGTCGAGCAAGGTGGGAAACTCTCTGGCCTGGCATGACCAGTGACTTCCTTGGGCAGCTGGGGCCCAGACTTAAGCCAGGTGGGCACAAGGCCACCCCTGTCTGGAAGCAGGAGTCCTGTAGGCTGGGGTGGCTATGGTGGCCCTGGCTCACATCTGCCCAGTTTCCTGCTCAGGGCTCTCCCACTGGCTCCACCATTCCCACCAGAGCTGCCCCCCGGCCCAGGAGGTGACATCGGCTCAGCCAAGGGACAGTAGAGCTTGTTTTGCATCTGTGTTTATTCATTTAGCCATTTCTTCACTTGCCGAAGGTCTGGAGTGACAGATAGGAACTGACTGTCCTCTAATGAAAGCAGGCCTGCCAGTGTTGGCAATGACACTGGGTCCTAGGGAGAGGTCAGCTCTTCATAGAAGTCAGGGAGCAAGGGCAGAGCATGGCAGAGCAGGAGAGCAGGACATAGACAGAGGGCACGGAGCCTGGGGCAACTCAAAAACCCTCTGGGTGCTTTTGGGAACCCAGCATCTCAGGGTCCCACCCTCAGCCACACACCCTCCCAGGATCAGTATGGTCTGCACTGGGGATGAGTGACCCTGCAGTTGCACCTCTTGCCCACCTCTGAATCCCCAAGCCCCACATCATCTACACAGCCCTTGCCTTCTTCAAAGTGACGGCCCCAGGGAGCAGGAGGAGTGAGCCAGGGCCACATGATGGGGCCTCATGGGCTGGTGCCATAGCTGGGATGGACAGAACCGAGGAGAGCAGTGGGGCCAGGGGTGCTCAAATGGGCTCACACTGGGATGGTAGGACCCCACAGTGTGTGGGTGCAGGTGGGCAAGCAACTCAGAGGAGAAGAGGAGGCACCCACTGGGACCTGAGATGTGGCACTGGGTCTTGGTGACCTGGTGGTGCTGGCAGCAGTTGGGTGGGTGGATGAGGCAGAGCTGAGCTGTGTTCTGTCCCTCTGACTATCAGGAGCTGTGTGCAGGTCCAGGAGGTAGGGGAAGGGGACTAGAGATAGTCCTCCCTGGGCTTCTCTGGAAGGAAAAGGGACCTCTGCTAGACCAAGCCATGCTGGCGCATGGGGCGTCCATGGCAAAGGACCACAGGCTCAGTGTCCTAACACAACAGAAGTTCACTCCCACAGTTCTGGAGGAAGACATCCATCAAGATGTGGACAGGGCTGTGGCCCCTCCAGAGACCCCAGGGAAACTGCTGGGGTCTCCACCCACCCCTTGGCTGGTGGCTGTGTTGCCCAATCTCCTACCAGGTGGCTGCATCTTCTGTTCTCTCTTATAAGGACACTTGCCATTGATTTGGGACCACCTGGACATTCTCATCTTAAGATCCTTACCTTTAATCACATACACCAGGACCTTTATTCTAAATATGTTTCCATTCACAGGTTCCAGAGATTGAGATGTGGACTTAGCTTTGGGGGTCATCCTTCAGCATACCAAAGGTGGGTTAATTAGAGGAGGAACAGGAGTGAGGGGTCCAGGAGGCAGCCTCTTGCTGCTGGGAGGGCCAAGGGCATCCCCACCATAGGCCCATCCTCTCCCCTGCCTGCACCATGCTCTGGCCTCTGGGTGGGGTAACCACCACTCCTCCCTCTCAGGCTTGGCAGGGCCTCCATTCACTCGTGTGTGAGCCAAGCCCTTGCTGTCCTCATTCCAGGTCCTGTGGAGGCATCTTATGATCTGGGACACAAGGGGGACAGGGAGACACTCAGCTTTACCCTGGGGGCTCCTGGCCTAGGAGATGAGGAAGAGGCCTCGGGCTGTGGCCTGACAGACCCTTGAGGGGACTGGTGGGAGTTGGAGCCTGGCCTCCTGAGACTGTGTGTGTGTGTGTCTGTGTGAGTGTGAGGGTGCTTGTGCGTCACTGCCTGTGTGACAGTGTGTCTGTGTGACCCTAAGTGTGTGACAGTGTGTCTATGATTGCCTTCCCGAGTGTTTGTGTGTTCCTCACTGTGTGACTGTGTGTGTGTCGCTGACTGTGTGACTCTGTGTCCCTGAGTGTGTGACTGTGTGTCTTGTAGTGTAGGACTGTGTGTCAGTGAACCTATGTCCCTGAGTGTGTGACTGTGTGCCCCTGACTGTGACTCTGTGTCCCTGAGTGTGTGGCTGTATGCCCCTGTGTGTGTCAGTGTGTTTGTGACTGTGTGTCCCTAAGTGTGTAACTGTGTCCCTGAGTGTGTGCCTGTGTGTTTCCTTGAGTTTGTGACCATTTGTCAATGAGTGTGTGTGTCTCGACCGTGTGATAGTATGCCCCTGAGTGTGTGGCACTGTGTCTATGAGTGCACAAAAGGGTGGGGGCTGAAGCCTAAAAAGCCCCCTGCTCCCCCTGCTCTTCAGTGTTCTCCCTAGCCCCAACCCTCAGCATCCCTGGACAAGCTTGAATTGCCCAATCTTGGGCTTTCTACTCCAACGGGGGGTTGGATGCCAAGGTCTGTGCTCTGGCAGGTGGCAAGCTTGATGTAGGAGCTCATTTTCATCCCTGACTGTGTCAGCGGTGTACTGTGATGCCACGTAGCATGGAGCCAGGCTCTGGGAAGGGCCATCAGGAGTGGAGTCTCCCGTCCAAAGGGTCTGGGGATTTGCACACTGGTAATGTGGTCAGTGCATGTGTGAAGAATGATGTTACCATTTCCACACCTCAGACAGGGTGAGACCCACAAAGCACACTCAGACGCAAACCCTGGTTTCCTCCTTATTGTAAATTCCTAGTCATTGAAAGCTTTTCTTCCTCTTCTTGGCTCCTTGGATTTTCCTTGCTTGAGGACCCACGGGTCACCTTCCTCTTTTCCTTGGTTCCTGCACACTCCCTGTGTGTGAGGGAGCAGGAGCCCTGCCCTGCTTCAGTGCATTCATGTGTTCTCCTGTCCCCAGTGGACTGCACAGAGATCCTGTTCGCAAGTCTGTCCAACCAGGGAAACCGCCTCTTCATCCGGGAGAAGGGCTCAGCTTTGTGCCCGCCCCGTTCCTGGCTGCATGGCCATCTCCAGGGGCCTGTGGCTCCTGACTCTGGGGCGTACCAAGTTGCTTCTTGAGGGTGATGGTGTCCAGCCCCACACGGTTCATGCTTGCTGGAGTTGCTAGATCAGCTCACTGGGATGTCCAGGCTGGCTGGTGGGTCACAGGGGCCAAGGACTGGCCTGTCTGTGTGCTTGGTAGGTGGGCAGATTGGGGCGGGTGGCCAGTGGTCCTGGGAGGCTGGTACTGGCCCACACCTGGTGCATGTGCAGCTGTGTTCCTGTGGCTCCTGTATTGAACACAGAGGGCTTGGGATTGTGGCTCCTATGTTAGTGTGGGAAGAGGCAGTGAGCCCGGGATAAAGACCAGTGAGCAGGTGGGATGGGCACCAAGCTGGGTTTTTCTGGGGTGTCAAAGGGACTTGTGTAGGCAGCAGCTGGCCACTTGGTCCCATAGGGCCCCATAAGTGCCCTGTGTCCCTTGTCTGGCCATCCCCATGGGGCCACATGCATCTCTCCCAATGCACACTTAGGGGCATGGGGTTTGTGAAAAAGAACTTTACTAAGAAACACAATGGGAAGGAAACTGAACTTCCAACCCAGGAGTGAGAGCTGGGATGAAGCCACAGTGGATGGGACTGGGGCCGCCAGACCATGCGAGCCACTGTGTGCACCCTGTGGGACTCCTTCTCCCACCACTGGGGTCCTGCCCCATCTGCCAACAATGTCAGGGCCTCTCCCCAGAAGGGCTTCTCTGTCTCCACATTCTTCAGGGACAGAGTTGAGGTGGAGAGCAGGAAGGGCAAGCAGAGGGACAGGGGCTGGGCACAAGGGCCAGACACTCTGGCCTGGGGCCAGGGGCTGCAGATTAAGTCTAGGGAGTGAGACCTCAGGCTGGGCTTGGACTCTAATCCTTGGTTTGCTGTGAACACTGAGTATTGGACTTGGAGGCTGGATCAGTCTGACCTTGACGCTGAGTGCTCGGTTTGGTTCTGAGTTCTGAGCAGTGGGCCAGGCCATGGGCTCCAAGCCTCATTGTGTTTCAGGGGTTGTCCAGTCAGAACGGGGTGACCCTGATTCCAGGTGCCTTGGAGAAGCTCAGAGCAGCTGCACACATGCCCAGCCCAGGCTACTCTGTTGAAGGGACAGATGCCACTCTGGGACTTGTGGTTAGAGTGGGGCTGGGGTGGGCAGGTCCCACTGGTGCCTGGACCTGGGGCCTGAGCTGGAACCATCTGGATCCCCACTAGCTGGTCTTCGAGTCCCTGCTTCTGGCCCTTTGGAGGTCTGTCTGGTCCCTTCTCATCTGGGGCAGCGTAGGTGACTTCAGCAGTGCTCAGACACGGGGAGGAAGGCAGCCAGGCTGTGTGCTACTGGTGTTGTGGGTCCAAACCTCTGGCTGCATGATGTTCACGTAGTCGTGGGTGCTCTGGGGTGTATCTTGCAGGACAGCCGCCAAGATCCACCTCACCTGTGAGGAGGGTGTGCATGAGGGGCTCTGCCTTGGCTCTGTCTGCCTTGCTGGGTCTCCCAACCCACCTTCACCCAAGAAAGAGGGGCGGTGACCCACCTTGAAAAGTGTGACTGAGGCACCATAGGTCACACTGAGCAGGAAGAGCGCCACGAAGATGAAGAGGCTGGTCCATATCCCATCCAGCTCCTCACTCTCGGCCTCCCCAGCACATAGGTCTTGGATGTCCACCTCTGTGGGCACCTGCCAGTCAGGCTTACCCAGCCTTGGGTGCCCCAGGAAGCCCTTGTCCAGCCCCCTTAGTCCCAGAGCTGCCAGTCAGCCATGCAGGGTTGGCATTGCAAACCCCTGCCTTGCCAAGGGTGGTCGTGTGGGAGCTCCGCCCTCTGCCCTCTCCTAAGGCCCACCCTTCCATATTTTCTCTCACCCCACTCATCAAGCTTCTCTCCTTGCTGCTGCCCCCCTGTCCAGGTTGTCCTCAACACTTGCTCTACTTACCCCCCCCCGCCCCCTGAACTTGCTCAGATTCTCACTTGCTGGCCTGGGAACCCCTCCAAATAGCACATGTGTTGGCTTCCCAAAGGCCCAAGAGGGGTCTGAGCTCCAGACACAGCCATTGATTGAAGAGGCTGGCCTGGCCAGGGGGGAGCCTGCAGCTGCCCGTGGCACTGTGTTTGGCCAGCACTGTCCCCAGCGCTGTCCCTCAGTCCCCAACTCTGAGGAGTGAGGTGGCCCGATGTGCAGGTGTCAGGCTTTGTGTGGAGCACAGCAACTGGTGCCTCTGGGCTGCATTGCACTGTAGGCTAACATTTGCTGCTTTCCACATAGACTGCTCATGTGCTGCTGTGCTGGGGAGGCTGTGTGTATGGGTGCATGTACAAAGGAGTGTGGGTCTGGGTGGTTGGGTGTGCACATGAGTTTGGGGCCTGGGGTGGACTTGGACCCTGGCTCTGATCCCTGCAGCCTCCAGACCCTGGGATGGGGCCAGGAGCTTGCTCTGGGGTGTGGGAAGACCCATGTCTTGGGTGTGTGTGTCTCCTTCATATGTGCCCACATGTGTCAGTGTGTGTCCTGATTGTCTGTGTGTATCCATGTGTGACTGTGTGTTCCAGTGTCTGTGTCCATGTATGTCACTTGTGTAGGTGTCCCTTTATGCCTGTGTGTCTGTGTGTGCCTCTGGGTATGTCTGCGTCCTTGTGCAACAATGTGTGTGTCTGTCTGTCCATCTGTGGGCAAACTGACAGGCAGGGTTTGACTGGGGAGGCTGGGGCCACAGGAAGAAGCAATGTGAGGCCTGCTGGGGCCCAAGCTGGAGACGCGGGGTCTTTCCATGCTCATCCTTCTACCCCGTGGCCCAGATGTGATGGGGAGCAAGGGTTTGGGGGTGGCCGGGGCAAAAGGCAGGCCAAGGGAGGCTTCTTGGGAGTGTCTGTGCCATGTGTCTGCCACGTGGGCACCGCAGTTGGAGGGAGGTGGCACCCTTGTGGGTGCAGGGCTGCCATGGTGGGTGCGGCTGCATGGGAGGCATGGGAGTATGTGTGCGAGGGCCAGGCCCTTCCTCGGGGTCGATCTGGGTGGGGTGAAGTGAGGGTCAGAGTGTGGTGGGGCTTGATGCTGGCTGGCCCTGTGTGGGTTGTGGGCTGCCCCTGGCCGCTTCTGCTCAGGTGGAGCTGGCAGGGACTTTGGCAGTGGGGCTGTCTGGGTCCCAACATGTTGCCATGTGTGTGGGCATCTCACTCAGCTTGTGCCTCCACTCAGAAGGGCCTGTGTGTGCAGCTGGACTTGGAGTTAGGGAGCTTGTCTGTGTCTGGAGGGGCTCGCAGGAGCTTGGGGTAGACGCCAAGGTCTTCAGGGCTCCTGAGAGGCAGCAGCTGTAGGCTGAGTGGGGTCTCCATGGTCCCTACACCAAAACCACCCTCTGGTGTTTAGGACACCATTGAGTGGGCAGGATTCACAATGGAGTAGTGAGGAGGCCCCTGGTACAAATGGGGACGGTGGACAGATCCACATCTCAGCTCTGCCCTGCCCCTCCCAGCCCCCTCCTGGCATCTGTTCCTCTGGCCCAGACACCCTGCCCTGCCATGCCCGCCCCCAAAAACAGGTACCCAGGGCTCCACACAGGCACTGGAGTGTTTATTGACACCACTGAGTGGAAGGGCTGGCCGGCACCCTCCCCTTCCCAGCAGGATGGATGGAGCCCTGGGAGAGGCAGGAGGGATGGCGTCAATTACCAGGGGCTTTGGACACTGATTTCTCGAGGGTCCTAGAGCCTGACAGAGCCTCGTGGACCACTCGGCAGGTGAACTGGCTCCTCTTCTCCCAGTCCGCTCGGCTGACCTCCAGGCGGCTGAAGACAAAGAAGGTGCGGCTGGAACTGTTGGCCTTGAGGGGCCACGTGGTGGCTTGCTTGTCGGTTGGAATCAGGGAGTCGTTGCACAGCCACTGCACCGAGATGTCCGCAGGGAAGAAGTTCTGGATCAGGCAGGTGAGGGTGAGCGTGTCCTTGTTCCCCTGCTCCTCCTCAGGTGGCAGGAACACGTAGACCTCGGGGACAACACGCTTGCCTGTGGACAGGTGTGGGGTCAGCCCAGGCTCCAGCAGGGGCCCACCCCCCACCCCCAGCCCGAGGCTGACCATTGCCCTTGGAGATGGTGCGCACAATGTCCTTGGGCAGGTGCGGGTGGCTCAGTCTGCACTCATAGGTCTCGCCCTCGATCCAGTCGTCAGCCTCCACTGGCAGGGTGGATGTGATGGTGTAGGTCATGTTGAATTGGAGCTTGCTGTTCCACGTGGTGTCTTCCATGAGGCCCTTGCTCTCCCGGAACCACTGCAGGGTCACACTGTCGTCGCTGGCCAGGTCCACCACCAGGCAGGTGATCTTGGGCGACTTGTGGAGGTACAGGTCAAGGGGGCTGGGCGGGATCAGGTAGACGCTCACACCACGGGGCTCGGACTCTGTGGTGAACAGGGAGGAGTTGTGTTAAGCTACACTGGGCCCCTCTCAGCCCTGAGGTTGTGGTGTTAGCATGGGGACACTGTACCTGGGCAGTTGCGGGCATGCTTCTGAAATGTGCAGCCTTGATAGTAGACCTGGCAGGTGTAGGTTTTTTGGGATACCCACTCGCCCTGGGTGATGTTGAGCTGGCTGACGACGGAGGACAGGTTGCGCTCCTGTTTTGCGGGGCTGATGTGTGGGAACATGTTCTTGTCTGAGTGCCCATCCACCAACCAGGTGACTGTGATGTCACCTGGGGTGAAGTCGGAGATGAGGCACAGGAGCTGGATGGTGGCCTGGGTATTGCCGCTGGGGTTGCAGGAGGAGTGGTACAGCTTCACAGTGGGCTGGGTGACGTTGGTGGCACACACTGGGGACACAGGTGGTGGGCCTGATGTTGGTCCTTCTGACCTCTGAACCCCACCTGCCAGCTGCCCAGGGCCCCAGGAACCCCAGGTGTGATGTCCCCTCCCACCAAGCATGCCCCTTGTCCTCGGACAGCAGGCCCCTGGCTGCAGTTGGGCCTACCTGCTTTATCATGCACAATCCTTTTCACAGGGGCACCCCCCACGTGCTCCACGCTGCAGGTGAACTTCTGTGTGGCCCACTCAGCTGAGGCAGTTGTCACCTGGCTGACGGTGGTATAGAGGCCTAAGGTCGAGTCTAAGGTGGCAGGAAGGGTCATGACGCTATGTTCCAGGGACCCTGCGTCCCAGGTCACGTTCACGAGCTCCGGGATGTAGTCCTTGATCAGGCAGCCGAGCGTCACAGAGGTGTCCCCAGTGCTGATGCTGCTGTGGCAGGGCACCAGCGGAAAGACGGACGGGAGTTGTTCGGAGACTGTGGGATGCAACCAGGACCAGGTCAGTGCCAGCTCACTTCTGACCTGGGGCATTCACTCCCGAGGCCCTGGTGAAGCTGGAAGGGAGGGCTGGGGGGCAGAGGCAGGGTGGCCTCGTGGACAGAGCACTGGAGTCCTGCTCCAGCCCTGGTGGACACAACAGCCCAGGCTCAATTGGGACCCATTCCTCCTAAACAATCTTTGATGAGCCCTAAGCCCCCACTGAAAGCTGGTTCTGTCCACACCCTTGGTCAGGATCCCACCTGCAGCTTGAGTGGCCAGAACATGGGCTCTCAGGTATCCCAGGGAGAAGCCAATCCTCCAGGCTGAGGCTCAGAGCCCACTGGGATGCTGGGAGCCCGAGACCCCCCAGAACCAGCAAGAGACCCCTCTGGCCTCACCCTGAGCCCTCCTATCAAGGCCTGGGGTCCCAAGGCCCACATGATACAGGACTACTACTGTGTCCCCTCCCCCACCGCACCTGCTGCTCATCAGGCTCTGTTCCCTGCAGTTGTGGGCATCCCTTTCTCCACTTGTCACTGACCAGCTAGGCTTCCCTGGTGCTCTCCTCTCCCTGCTAACCTCCAAGGAAGTCCAACTCAGGCTCCATGGGGAGATGACGGGGGCACCTCAGAGCCCACTTGAAGTCTTCCTTCAGTAGGTGACTCAGCCAGCCCCTCCCCTGGCTTGGGAACCTTAGAGCTCAGCCCATCCTACCCTGCTCTAGATTCTTTCCCCCGCTCCACTCTGCTCTTATGGTCTAGGTGACCCTGTGCGAGGACAGCTGGCACCAGGAAAACCAACCAGCTCTGTGCACCAGCCCTGCTCAGCCCAGCCCATTTCAGTCCAGCTCAGTTCCAGAGAGCCCCCGTTGGTCCATCCTCATTGAGGTGAGCCTGCAATAGATCATTTCCAGCTTTGATCTCATCTTACATCAGTCCACAAAATTAAACCAAATTACTCTTACTCAGCCCATTTCAACCTGTCAGCCAAGGACAGCCTTCTCAGGAAGGTGAACTCAATTTTACCACAACTAAGCTAGGACAAGAGGGACTCATAGAAAACACGACCCTGCTTGACCAGACTGAGTCCAACTCAGGTCAGCTCACCCCAGTTAGGTTCAGCCCATTCAGTTCAACCAAGTGCATCCCAGCTCAACCCTGTTCAGCACAGCTCAGCCAAGTTCAGTCCACCTTAGTCCAGTGCAGCCCAGCCCTGCCCAGCTCAGCCCAGCTCATCCCAGGTTAGCTCAGCTCAGCCCAGTTCAACCTATTTTAGTCCAGCTCTGCTCTGCCCAGCTCAGCTCAGGCCAGCCCCCTTCAGCTCAGCTTCGAGCAAACTTCACCACGGCTCAGCCAACCAACCCCAGTTCAACCCATTTCAGCCCAGCTCATTGTAGCTCAGCTGTGCCCAGCTCAGCTCAGCCCAGTTCAACCCAGTCCATCCCAGATCAGCCAGCTCCCCTCAGCTCACCTCAGCCCAGTACAACCCACTTTAGCCCACCTCAGTTCAGCTCAGCCAAGTTCAGCTCAGCTTAGGTCATTCGACTCAGCCCACTTCAACCCAGTTCTTCCCAGTTTATTCTGGCCCAGCTCAGCTCAGGTCAGTTCAGCTCAGGTTATTCCCAGGTCATCCCAGGTCAGCCCAATCAAGCTCAGCTCATCTCATCTCAGCTTAGACCCTTTCACCCCAGCTCAGTTCAGCCAAGTTCACTTGAGTTCAGCTCAGCTCAACTCAGCTCTGGTCAGCCCAGTTTAGTTGAGTTCAGCCCTCTTAATTCCTGCTCAGTGCAGCCCAGCTCAGCCTAGTTCATATCAGCACAGCATAGCCTACCTTAGCTCAACCCAGCTTCCCTCGGATCACCCCCGCCCAGTTCAACCCACATTAGCTCAGCTCAGCCCAGTGCCCCTCAGTTGAATTCAGCCCAGTTTATTCCAGTTTAGCTCAACCCCAGCTCAGCTCAGCTCAGCTCAACCTGAGTTCAGCCCAGTTCATTCCTTCTCTTTTTAGCTCAGTTCAGCCCATTCATTCAAGTTCAGCTCAGCTCAGCCCAGTTCAGCCTAGCTCAAATCAGCCTGTTTCAGTCCAGTTCAGTTCACTTCAGTTCATTCTAGCTCTGCTTAGCTCAGCCTTGACCCAGGGTGTCACGCTCAGCAGAGAACAGCTCAGTCTTGCTCATCTGTGCCCAGGTAGGCCAAAATAGCCTGTTCCACCCACCTTGCCTACTCTAGCTTGACCCTATTCTGCTAAGCCCAGCTTCCCCCAACTCCACCCTGCTCTGTTCAGCAGGCTCCAGCCAAGGTCAAGTCAGCATCATTCAGCTCAGGTGTGTCTAGCTCAGCTCTGCCAACCTAGGCCAGTCCATTGCAGAATACCTCACCTGTGCTCCATTGGATTAGCCTGACTATGACCTAGCCTAGCCTGACTATGTTCATCCAAACCAGCCCAGTCTGAGACAGCCCAGCTCAGCACAGCATGGCCTACCTCAGTGCATCAAGGCCAGCATGGCTGAGAGCTGCAAAGATTGACCATCCTGGCCCAATTGAGCTGTAGATACCTCATCTCCTTTTGGATGGCTGTTCACTGAAGCCACAGTTGGCACAACCCAGCTCAGTCCAGATAGCCTTTGTTAGGCTTGCCCAGCTCAGGCCAGGAGCTGTGGCCCCAGGCCAGCCTGCTGTGCTATCCAGCACAGGAACGGCTAGCTCTCTGCTGTTCCTCGAGCTGGTGATTGTCCTCCTGGCTGATCTACACCAAACTCACTGTCCACACGTGATTTCTGACCCTTGGCCTTGGGCTCTGCTGAGCCCTTTTTTCTCTGAGGGTCTTTACTCCTTGTCTTCTCCAGGTTGGCTTTGGTCTTTCTCTTGCTTCTCTGTGTCTCCGTTCAGGGGAGGGACAGCTAAAAGATCAGCTGTGACCAGGAGGCTCAGTCCATGCTGGGTGGGTAATCAGGTGTCTGCTTCCTGGCTGTAGCCCAGCAGCTTGTCCTTGACGGCTTCCTGGACCAGCCCCAGAGCTGGAGCACCTGGACTGCTGGGATCTTCTGTCAATGCTTGGTTGGCGTGGCAACCAGCATGTCCCTTCCTCACCCTCTGTGGCTCCCTGAATGGATAGGCTCCCAGGAGAGGTCAGTCATTAGAAACCATTGTAGTTATTTTTAAGCCCAGACTAGGGGGCTGGGGGGAGGAGAGCTGTGCCTCAGCGCTGTCTACTAAAAATGGAGTGGGAACCCCCGGGGCCTGTGCAGCCCTGGAAGGTCCCTTCTTTTTGTGTTCTTGGGAAGTTGATGGAGGGACTGTCTCAGCGAGGCTCCTGTGTCCTCGTTGAGGAGCTTTTGGCTCTGGGCCCCAAACCTTGGCCCTGCCTCCACTGCCCACTTCCGGCCTCTCTCCCAGATGCTTTCAGCAACCACTGGGGTCACCTGGCTGCCTGAGGAGGGACTGGGCACCAGGCCCCCCACTGCTGCTATCTGGCAGGAAAAGGCTCTGACTCTTGTGCCTGATGCATGGAGGCCTGGTGGGTCATGTGTGCAGATGTGGAAGCAGGATCTCCTGCTGACATGCGGCTCTCCTTTGTGTTTTGTGTGTGTCCATGGCAGATGGAGCTGGCTCTGTGTGTGTGTGTGTGTGTGTGTGTATGAGTCCACAGGTCACCCAGGGTCCTTTGCCTTTGCTGCCACACCTTCCTCCTGCATCTGGGCCCCCTTCAGGGCCGCAACTGGTGGCATGGCCAGGGAGGGCTGGAGGGACCTGGGGGAGGTTGTCGTGACTGTGAGGTTGGCTGATGGCTCTGAAAAACCCCTCCAGTCCATAAAGCCTGGGGGCACTGTGCCATGTCCCTTTTTCAGGTGGCTTCTGAGGGTATGGGGAACATGGTATCTAGGAATGACCTAGAGTTGCCCACAGTATCCAACTCTGACCTGTAGACACAGCCAGCCTACCATCAACAGTCCAGTGATGTATGCCTTGCCTTCATGTTGTGGACATGTCTGGCAGGCCTGTGTTTCCCCAGAACCCCATGAAGGACACCCTCCCACACACATGGGCGATGCCATGGGAGCCTGCCATTCCATCTCATTGGTGTGAGCTGCTCAGAGGAGATGTGCACAGTTTTAGAGAATGAGACATCAGGCCCCCATCCCCTGGACTTGGGACACCTTGGGCCAGAGGTCCCCATGCAGGGAGGCAGAGTAGAGATGGCTTGGTGAGGCCTGGTGTCCTTGGAAGACCCAGGACTGCTGCATGGCAGATAGGGTTGGGTGGGCTGACCAGGTGCACAGAGAAGGACCCAGCTGGAGCCCTCTGACCGCTGGGGCAGAGGGTCCTGCTCTGTCACACCCTGCTCCTGGCCCTGGAGACAGATGCTGTGTGGGTGGCAGAGTGAGGAAGATAGAGTTCCTTTGAAGAACCTGTGATTCTGAGAGAAGCCACAAGCTAGAGCAGGTATAGCCCCAGCTGGGTATCACGGTGGGCCCAGGTGAGGTGGGGCCAGGCATGCAGACTGCACATGTGGGAATGTGCAGGTCTAGGGACTCCCCTTGGCTGCCCCAGACCCTGGCACCTCCTTCCCATTCTCCCTGGACTGCAGGCATGAGGGGCCTGGGCCTCAGTCTCACCCAGCCTGCTGGTTCAATCCTTATGCCCCAGAATGTGCTGGGTAGCTGGTGCTAGGGAAGGGAAGCATGTGGGAGGTGGGCACCATCTCCAGCCTTGGCCACCCCCAGGGCCCATTGGTCTTGGAGCAGAACAGCTTCCACAGGTCAGCTCAGCTCTGGGTATACATGTCTTGCTGCACCATTCCTTGCTGGGCCTGTGGCCCTGCCCCAACCTGGAGGAAACACCCTTGACCTGTCCCTTCTGTCCAGGGCTGGGCCTGAATGCCCCCTACCTCACAGGCACATACCCCAGCCTCCACAACCACCCTGGTATTGCCCCAACCTGTTGGTCCTGTACTGCAGGACACAGGACAGAGTCTTCATCTAAGCTATGCCTCAGCTGCATGCAATATGTGAGTGTGTGCATCTGTGAGGAATGCACATATGTATGTGTCTCCATGGGCATGCATGTGTGCATGTGTGTGAGTGTGGGTTTGTGTGCTGTCCCAGGTAGGAGGTGTTGCTCAGTGTCTGCAGGAGCCCTCAGTGCTGGAGGATGTGGCAAAGCCTGGAGCTGGGAGCCTGGACAGGGCCATCTGAGGCTTTGTGCTCCTTAATGACCTGGGTAAGGTGGGCCCAGAACAGGTTCCCACTTGGTTAGAAAGTGACAAGTAAGCAGGGATGTGGGGACTAGCAGGAGGTTAGACAGAGCCTGGACAGAGAGCACAAGAGGAGTGGGCTTTGAGCCCAAGCAGTTTGAAACCCCATTCTGAGGCCAGACCCCAGAGGCAGGGCCTGGGTGGGGGAGAGCAGGGACCAATGGGCTGCTTGGAGGGACCAGACTACAAGTGTTTCTCAGACCCTTATGCACAGGATACCAGCAGCTTTCAGACCCCTCAGACTTAGCTGGGGACTCAGTGTCTCTGACCCCGGGGATGGGGGCCAGGTCCCAGAGTTCTCCTGGACAGTGAGAACCGATGACCCTTTTGCTGGCTGTGGTAGTGGCCCCAAAGACAGGCCTGTGAATGCTCTGGTTCCTCCACATAGCACCTGTTCCCTGGGGTGGGCCTGGACCCATCTCTGTCCTGGGACTGACTGAACCACCCCAGGCTCCCGGACACCCGCTCACTCCACCCCAGGAAAGCCCTGCACATGGTCCCTACCTGCCCCGTGAGGGTGTCTCACTCTGATCTTTGGAAAGTAGTGTGTCCTGTTCTAATTTAAATGCTCCCATTAGTCAGGAGCTTGACTATCTATCTCCTCCGACACTCGGGAGCCATCCGCACCTACTTGTCTTTGTCCTTACCGTCTTTCCTAAAGGTGTTCCTGGTGACCTCTTGGAACTCTGCAAGGTGGTCATTCCCAATGCCAGTTCCTAGTTGGCTTCACATTTGCAATGACTTTTACTAATTAATCCCTATCTCTTCATGTTGCTTATCATGGCCTCATGTAACAGAAATTCTTATGTAGTCATCGATTGATTTTAGAGAAAGAGGGAGGGGGAGAGAGAGACACACAGGCATTGATTTGTTGTTCCCATTATTTATGTGGTCATTGATTGATTCCTGTATGTGCTGTGAAGGGGGATCGAACCGCAACCTCGGCATATTGTGGAGACACTCTCACCAACTTAGCTATGCATGCAGGGCAATTTTAGAAAAATTCTTGATTTCTATGTGGTAAAATTCTTCAGCTTTTCACCCTCAGGCTTGTGCCTTCAACAATTGAAGAACCCTGTTAGCATCTGTAGGAGTGTCCTGTGGCTCCTGTAGCAAAGTGCCACAAGTGTGGGGGTGTAAAACTGCAGGAACTCATTCCCTCCCATTCTGGACGGCAGCCATGTGACACCAAGCTGTGAGCAGGGCCGAGCTCCCTCCAAAGGCTTCAGAGAGCATCTGGAAGCTACTGACATCACTCCAATCTCTGCTTCCGTCTTCTCGTGGCTTCCTGCCCCACATGTCTCTCTGTGTCATGTCCTCTTCTAAAGTCACCAGTCACTGGACTTGAGACCCATGCAAAATTTAGAAGGACCTCAAGACCCTTAACCTAATGTTATTTGCAAAGATCCTATTTCCAAATGAGTCAACCAGACTGAGGCTGTCTCCAGCTCCCCCAGCCTGGCTGGTCCAGTTTGTGTTGGCTTTGGGTGGCATCCAGATGGAAATGGTCCTTCTGTATGGCTTACACCACATACCCATAACAGAGTGTGAAGCAGCGGTCAGGGTTCAGTTGTCCCTCCAACGTCCTGGCTTTCCCACTGGTGCACTGCCCGACCTGGCCGCACTCACTGTGCACCAAGTTCCTGCAAATAGTCGAGCTGTTTCCGAGGCCCCCGTGTGTGGGTCTGGTAGTCTTTGCAGGGGCAACATGCTTTTGCAATGATGTTTTGTGCAAATGCTAACATTAGCAGTGAGAGTCTCCCTGACCCTCCCATCATTTTCTCTTACTCTTCAGAATTGTCCAATCTGTAAATGCATCTCAAAAGCAGACAGACAGATACACACACACACACACACACAGCCCAGTTGGAATTTTTATTGGAGTACATGGCAAGGTAGTGGGGTCACAGAACCCCAAATCGTATTGATGCCTGGCCCACGCTACCCCTCCCCCACCAAGCCCCCGTGGGTACTGGTCCCATGCCAGCAGGCCCTGCTGCACTTTCACCATGGCATCTGCTGGAGCCATGGGGATGGGACAAGCCAGAGGAGCTGTGGGCTCCTGGGGATAGAGATGCATGAGCGTCTTGCTGTGGAAGCCCAATAAGTGTGGGAAGGGAGTGTGGTGTGTTCTGCGGAGCCCCTGTGGGGAGGGAATGTGAGCAAATGCTGAGCAATGAGTCACCCTGATGGACTCCAGGGGTGGGTACTTGAGTGTGTGTGTGATGGGAAGGCCTCTGTGTGTGTGAAAGCACCTGTATGTGAGTGTGTAAAACAGAGGTGTGCATGTCGGAGCTGGTGCTCAGGGCTGTGGGCTGCACCTGGTGAGGAGGGGCCTCAGGGCTCACACAGGCACAGCTGTGGGAACTCAAGCACAGGTGGTCATTAGGAGAGGTTTGGGGCCCCGTGTGCAATGTTGCTGGGAGGTCATGAGTGGGAGCCTCGGGGTTGGGGTCCAGTCCCTGAGGATGCTCCTGCTGGCGGGACTAAGGCTGTAGTCCAAGCCAGAGTCTCCTGTTCAGCAGGAGACCACTGGGTCAGTGGTGTGTATATGATCCTGAGGGAGGGGTGGGCTGGCTGGAGGTGCCTGCCTTGTTCCCAGTGATGGAAGTGAAGGGGCAGGGCCTGGGGAAAGGGAGGTGGAGGGCACTGGGTTGGGTGCAAGAGATGGAGGTGGTGGGGTGACCCTAAGTACTATCATCTGGAGTCCTGATGATAGTCATGGAGACCCCCAGCCTACCTGGCTGGGATCTGGTGGGCCAGATATGTTACTGGACCCCTGCTGGCCATGCCACTGACTCCTGTGGGTGATCCAGCTGCCAATGGAGCAAAGATGCCCCTAGCTGGAGTGGTACTTCCCGATGGCCTTGGGCCTCCCGGGCTGTTCTGGCAGAGACCCTTCCTAAATGTCCCCCATGCTGGAGCCCACCCCAGGCCATGTTGGTCTGTGTCTGTCCCAGTACAACAGTGGGCATGCCCACCCTCCTGTCTCGGAGCTTTTACTGAGCAGGGCTGACAGCTGAGCACTTCCTTGGCCCCGAGGGCTGCATCTCCACAGCCCAAGGGCCTGAACAGGAAGATGGGCCTCGCCCCATCTCTGAGAAGGACATCCCTCACTCCATCATTGCTGGCCCGCTGGCCATCATCAGTCTGTGGCTCCTACCTGGACCACCTTCTTCACCCTTCCTGGAGCACCCTGGCCCCACCCTCCCAGGAATTGTCTGTCTCTCCTGTGCAAACCTGAGTCAAATTCAGGTCTCGGGGCTCTCCCCTAATGACACCTTGCTGCCTGGGTCTGTGGACCCTATGACAGGCAGCCCTCCTGGCCTGGTCTTCGCTGCCCCTCCCACCTGATCCCTGTTCCTGACACCCACTCTCTTGTGTGGGGTGAAATGTGTCCCCGCATTCACATGTTGATGTCCTAACCCCTGTACCTCAGCATGTGATTGGATTTGGAAACAGGGTTTTTGGAGAGGTGATAAGTTAACCTGAGGTCAATAGGGTGGGTCCTAATCCAGTCTGACTGGTGTCCTGATAAGAGGAGGAGATTGGTGCAAGGACACACAGAAGGCTGGCTATGTGAGGAAAAAGAGAGGTAGCTGTCCACATGGCCAGGAGAAAGGACTCTGAGGGCTATCCCTGTGACACCTGCCCTGGGACCTCCAGCTCCAGGATGGGGACAGAATCTATGTCCCCTGTTTCAGCCCCTGGTCTGTGCTGACTGACACACACAACATGTGTGCCCTGGTTCTTGTCACAGTTGGCCTGCTTCCAGCCGCAGGTGCTTGTGCAGCTCTGGTTCCCCCATGTTTTGGGGCCACCTTCCTCACTGGCTGGCAGCCCAGAGGAAGCTGGGAAGCCAAGGGCAGGAAGAGATGGAGGGTTGGCAGGTTCTGGTTCAGGGAGAGTGGGTGGGGGGGATGCATGACTCGGCCAGGTTGTGGGTTTTGTGAGTTGTGCAAACACCAGAAAACTCAGGTGAGTTATGGAATTTTTAGGATGTTTTATTGTCATAAAAAGAACAGTAAAGAAAACTAATGGGATCCAGAAAATAAAAAAGAAAATAAAAAGCAACCCAAGCTACAATGTGGAGTTTCCTTTGAGTAATCTCTCTCTGCACATCCCCTATACTCATGGGGTCTACATCTCCCTCTTTCCTGTCTAGGTGAGATGACTTGGTTCTTATTGGAGATCTGGACCTCTGCCCAGCCCACCCTGCTGGCTCCCTAAGACAGGGGGAATGCTCTGCTCTAAGTACTCTGGGTTCTCATGACTCTCCCCCACTGGAGCAGGGAGAGGCCCTGGGAAGGGCAGAGGGGGCAGAACTCACATCCTCTGCCCCCACTTTCCTGCTTTCCTGCCGCTCTGCACCCCAATGCCCAGGTCCCTTGACCTCTTCTGTCCACTGACTAGGCTGTGTCTCACCTGCTTGGGGAACTGGCCACCAGCCTCCTCCCCAGGATGGTTGTAGGTAGACACTCACCTCTCCCTGGGTGGTACTTCCCTGCACCCCTGGGCCCCTGCCGCAGCCCAGCCCAGGCCCGTCTCTGAGGGTCTCCTCTGGTGGTAGCCATCTAGGTGACCACTAGGGCCCATCTCAAAGCTCCCCTGGTGGGCATTCAGGACCCTTCCAGGACTTCAGCATTTGGACCCCACCCAATGGGTGCCAGGAACACAGGGCCCCCACCTCCTCCAGGTGGACTTGGGTGCTGACCCCAGGCAGGGCCATCCTGGGGTGAGAATGTCCCGTACTGATGCTCTTGGTGTCCGCATGACCCCTGGCAGTGTCTTGGGGACTGCTGTGCAGGGGCCAGCAGATGTCCATCAGCTCAGGTTGAGGGCAGAACCTGCTGTCCACCTGGTTCTCCTAGGGGGTGGGTCACGGCAGGATGCAGCCTAGGATGGCTGTGATGCCAGATGGCAGAAGCACAGTCCCAGGGTGGCCATGGGGCCAGAAGGTGGTGAGGTCAAAGGTCAGCAAGGTCAGAGGGTGGAGGAGCAGGCCTGGGCAGCAGGTTGAGCAGCATGAACCAGCAGACCCAGGTCCTGTACCAGTCAGGGGAAGTTCTGGATGCCTTCCCAGGAGGGCTGGTGCTAAGCCCCCTGTCCGATCATGTTCCTATAATCAGGGACGATGGTCCGCTTCAGCTCCACCACCGAAGAGAAAATCCACTTCACCTGCAGGGAGTGAGTGCCCAGGACCTCTCATCAGCCTCCACAGGGCTGGGGAGGACCAAGTGGGGATGGCATGGGAACAGGGAGGAACTGTGAGTGTCCGTGTGGGGACAATGTGGGGGCAGCATGGTGGGTATGCAGACAGTGTGGTCATGGCATAGGGGCAGGGTGGGGACCACATGAGAACAACATGGGGACATTGCAGGGGGTGCTTAGGGAGGACATGGAAACAACACGGGAACAACATGGGGATGGTGTGGGGACAATATAGGAACAACATGTGACTATGGGGACAACCTGGGGACATGTGAACAACATGGGGGAGCATGGAAACAACACGGGAACAATGAGGTGATGGCGTGGAGACAGCATGAGGACCGTGTGGGGACAGAATGGGGACAGAGTGGGGTCAGTGTGGGGACAGAGTGGGGTCAGTGTGGGGACAGAGTGGGGACAGTGTGGGGACAGTGTGGGAACAGTGTGGGGACAATGTGGGGACAGTGTGGGGACAGTGTGGGGACAGTGTGGGGATGGGGTGGGGACTGTGTGGGGACATCATGGGGACAATGTGGGGACAGTGTGGGGACAGTGTGGGGACATCATGGGGACAATGTGGGGACAGTGTGGGGACAGTGTGGGGATGGGGTGGGGACTGTGTGGGGACATCATGGGGACAATGTGGGGACAGTGTGGGGACAGTGTGGGGACAGTGTGGGGTCAGTGTGGGGACAGTGTGGGAACAGTGTGGGGATAGTGTGGGGACAGTGTGGGGACAATATGGGGACAATGTGGGGACAATGTGGGGACAGTGTGGGGACAGTGTGGGAACAGTGTGGGGATGGGGTGGGGACAGTGTGGGGTCAGTGTGGGGACAGTGTGGGGACAACATGGGGACAGTGTGGGGACAGTGTGTGGACAGCATGCAGACAGCAGGGGGACAACATGGGGGTGGCATAGAAGCAACGTGGGGACAATGTTGGGACAGCGTGGGGTCGATATGGGGACGGAAGGCCCACCTTGAAAAGGGTGACCGTGGCGCTGTAGCACACACTGAGCAGGAAGAGGGTGATGAAGATGGAGATGGTGGTCCACAGCCCGTCCAGCTCTCCGTCCTGGGCCTCTGCACAACTCTCATCCAGGAGTATCCCTGGACAGGGAGGGGGAGGTCAGTGCTGGTGGCCATGGGAGGCTGACCTGGGGCTGGTGGGGCCTAGGGATTCCCTCTGTGACAGAGTGGGGGTCTCCCAGGCTGGGCCAGTGGTACCCAGCTTCCCCATCCTCCACCTCAGGCCCCAGATCTCCACCTGGCCCAGGGGTTGCCCCTCTCTTCTCTGCAGCCCCCACTGGGCCTTGTGCAGACGAGGTGGGCTGACCTTGCAGTCCAGTCTGCTCTGCAGTCCCGCAGTCCTCTGTCTTCCCCACAGGGGGCAGAGGGTGGGAGGGACCCCTGCCCTAAGAAGGGCCAGCGCTAGGTCAATGTTGGGAGTACTGAGACAGGCAGGTGGGCCTGAGGGCAAGTCTGGGTGTGGTGGGGAGGATTTCTGCACACCGAGCAGGGAGGGTGGTGTCTGAGCTGGTCAGTGTGTGTGTGAGCTCTGAGTGGGCCCTGGGGTGTTGGAGGCAGTGGGATCGGGCTGGTGTCCATGGTATGGGTAAGGATCTGCTATGTTCTGTGGCCTGGGCCTGTGTAGTGTGCCTGATAGGAGGCCCCAGAGTAAAGCCTGTGTGTGCACGTGCATGTGTGTGCTTGTATGTAAGTGCATGTGTGTGGGAAAGTGGGCATGTGAGCTGGCTCTGGTCAGTGGGAGTAACTGTTTTTTTTTTTCGGTAGGTCTGGGCTCAGCCTCCATGTGGGCATTTGGATAGTCCCTGCCCTTGGGCTCCAGGGTGCCTGTTTCTGCCCCTTTGGGGTAATAGGGTGAGTGTCCTCCTGAGTAGGCAGGCCTGACCCCAGGCGGAGCAAGGCTGGGCTGAGCCCCCTAGCCAGAGGGAGGTTGGGAGACCTGTTCTCCAGGGCAAGACAGGGACTGTCCCCACACCACGGGCCAGACCTCCTCCTGTCTGGGCACAGAGCCACCTTACAGAGCCACCTTACAGAACCTGGGAGAGAGGCAGTGGACAGGAAACCCTGGAGAGAGGGACAGTGAGGTCCCACAGCTGGGGCTCTTACAGAAGTGGGGACTACTGGGCCCTCCTGTGCCAGAGGGGCTCCAGAGGGGTTTCTCCTGTCCCCTGTCCACTCCTCCAGCCCAGAGTAGTTGCTGGCTGGGGAGAAGGCTGGAGGAGTGGCCTCTGTTGACAAAGCCACATCCCTTCTCTCCAGTGACTGCAGACTTGGAGGCTTGGGTCCCACCCGCGTGGGACCACCCGGTTCCCCTTCATGGTCACAACCAGCCGCAGAGCCCAGCCTGGGCTCTGCCTCAGAAAGAACCGTGACAGTGTGGCAGGGTCCCAGGGCAGCGCTGGGTGCTTTATTTAATGCTGAGCCTGGGGCATGTACATGGGGTGGGGTCGCTGGGCGCCGGGCACGTTGCTCATTTACCCGGAGTCTGGGAGATGGGCTTCTGGGTGTAGTGATTGTGCAGAGCCTCATGCATGACCGCACATGTGAAGACCTGTCCCTGCGTCCACCTGGCTTTGTCCACCGAGAGCTTGCTGTACAGGAAGAAGGACCCATCGTTGTCCTTCATCGGCGGGGTTGTGATGTACTTGGCCTCTGGCTCCGGCTTCCCATTGCTCTGCCACTCCACACTGATGTCCGCTGGGAAGAAGTCTTTGACCAGGCAGGTCACACTGATGGTGTTCTTGGACAGCTCGTCCGTGTGTGGGGCCAGGGGGTACACCTGGGGTTCCCGGGCTGTTCCTGTGGGAGGGGGTCAGCACAGACGGTCACTCCCAGGTAGGGGGCTGGCCCCCCAGGGCCCACCCTTCCCCTGTCTGCTGTCCCCACCTTTGGTCTTGGAGATGGTCCTCTCAATGGGTGATGGGAGGGACTGACTGTTGACCTTGCACTTGAATGTCTTGCCAGTCAGCCAGTCCTGGTGTGCGATTGGGAAGGCCTTGACCACTCGGTAGGTGCTGTTGAACTGCTGATGCTGTGCCTTCGCCTTATCCACGCTCTTCTTTTCACCATTCACATACCAGGTGAACTCTACTTCGAGGTCCTCTGGGGACACGTCCACCACCATACATGTGACCTCGGGTGTTCGGGAGATCATGAGGACGTCCTTGGTTTTCGGGGGAAAGATGAAGACTGAGGGCCCTCCTGGGGTTTCAACAGCTGGTGTAAAAGACACAGTGGACAGAGGTCAGTATCTAGATGGGCCTCCCTTGGACACTCATTCCCCCCATGAGCCACACCTGGGCTTGGGCCACCTCCTTGACATGGCTAACTCACGTGGGCATGTGGGCGCAGGTGTTCCATTAGGTCCGGGGGGCACTGTAGAGAGAACACACTGACAGTTACTGGGGCCTGGGTGTAGTTACTAAGCCTTGGGGGTGGTCTTAGGTTAGAGCCAGAGCTGGGCAGGTGTGAGACCAGCATCCTTCTCCAGGGTCCCTGAGGCTAGGGTAAGGGTGTCCAGCCTGTGCCCACCCTGGGCCTGGTGGAAATGCCCAGAGGACCTCTCCCTGGGCTTGGTGGGCCTTCAGGATGGGGAGACTGTCAGTGCCTCCCCCAATTGCTCTAGGCCGGGGAAGCCACTCCTGCTCTGTGGTCTGTCCAGGCAGGAGGCTGCCCAGGCCTGTCTCCTAGTGGATGTCCCCTGGTGCCTGAGTGCTCACCAGTCTTGTCCAACTTGGTGTTGCTGGCCGGGTGGACTACGTTGCAGGTGTACGTCTGGCTGGATGAGCTGCTGGCAGGCGCTGTCACCATGCTGCTCAGAGAGTAGAGCCCAGAGGACTGCAGGACGGAGGGGAAGGTGTGCACGCCGCTGGTCAGGGAGCCTGAGTTCCAGGACACAGTCACCGGCTCAGGGAAGTAGCCAGAGACCAGGCAGCCCAGGGAGATTGTGGAGCCAGATGTGGCCTCACAGGAAGACAGTGGAAAGACCTTCGGGGCCGTGGTGCTGGCTGCAAGAGAGAAAGTCATGTGACTGCCAAGGCCTCAGCTGGGAAGACTGGGCAGACTGTCAGGGGCCCAGGCCTGGGACACCCACCAGCCCAGTTCCTGAGGCCGATGGTGCAGCCACCCATGTGGGTCTCTGCCATCCAGGCCTCGTGTCTCTGTGACTACGGGAACTGGGCTCACAAGCTCAGGCAGTGCTTCATGACCGCCTGGACACAAGTCTTCCGAGGCCCCTGAGCTCTCAACCCCTTCGTTCCCAGAGAGACCCTCGGAGCCCTGACCTGTGGCTCCCGTTTCTGGCTGGCTCCCCTGGGTTCGTCCCTTGTGCCAACTGCCCTGCCACCTGCCAGGCCCTGTCCTGGGTGTGCAGTCCCCTTCTTGGTGCCTGTGCTCTGCTGCCAGCCCTGTGGCCAGAGCCCCTGTCATGCAGGCCACCTGCCTCTCTGGGAGAGCTGAGTAGCCAACGTGCCACCCTGGTCCCCATCCCCACCCTGGACCCTCTCCATGCCCTGTCCACAGGAGCCCCTGGCTCACTCCTGTGGTCCTCCAGCCCCAGATACTATGTCTGTGCCCCTAGAACCATCAGCTTCTCCCCGGGTCCTTGTGGCTTCCTGAGCTCACACATGTCCTTGGCCACCCAGCTCTTGCTCAGTCCTGGTCCTTCCTGAGCTCAGCCAACTTCTCAACATGGCCAGGAGCCTGGTACTGGCCTTGACACCCCTCTCCTGCATGGCACCAGTGACCCAGGCCCCAGAGTGGCCAGGGTGTACTCCCACCCCATGGCCAGGCCTGTCCCCCAACTCTGATCCCATCAGCTCGGCCCCAGAGCTCTGCCCCAAGGCCCCCTATCTGTCCTCAACCCCATTCCAGGATGGAAGCCCTGGCTTGGGCCCTGAATGGGCCCTCCTACGTTCCTCTGAAGAGACCGGGGCCTTGTGCCACCCGACATCTTCCCAGCTCCCTGCAGCAGGACTGGTGCCTCTGGGTTCAAGAACTGAGACCAATGTGGTCTCCTCAAGGGCCTCCTTGCTCCTTGTTCCTTGCTATCGGAGACTTTCCTGTCCAGGGTCCCCTTGCCACCCCAACTTGCTGTCCACCAGGCTCACCTGTCCCCTGGGGCTGTCTCTGCTCCCTCCCAGCTCAGCTTCCACATCCTCCAGGGCTCCTTTTAGCTCTAGGCCCTGCCCTGGTCCCCCAGAGCTCTGGGGCTGCCCACTGCCCCTCCCCTCCTCCCAGCTCACTGGGATATGCTCTACCTGCTGCCCAGAGCTCCCGGCCCTGGGGCTGCTCCCTCTTACTGCCTTGCAGGCTCCCCTCCTCCCACTGCTCCCCCAAAGCCCTCTCTGCCCCTGTCCCTCTCCCTGGACCCTCACAGGAGCTCAGAGCCCCTTGTCCATCAGTCTCTTGCCTCTGCTCAGGTGAGGTCCAGTTCTGACTGCTCAGGCCCCAGCTCCCCTTGTCCAGGGGCCGCTGCTTTCCCAACTCCAGGGTCAGCTCCCTATATTCCTGCCTTCCATTTGCCTCCGGCTCACCTGAATAGCTCTGCCAGCTCCCCTAGAGCACCAGGTGCATATTCCTGCACTGTTCTTCCCCTCAACCTGCCCCTTGCTCACCAGTATGGCTCTGCAAGATTATTCTGGAGCTCCCGGGCCAGCTCCCTGTCCTCGGAGCTATCCCCTGATCACCTGCATAGTTATGCCAGCTCCCTCTGAAGTTCTAGGGCAGTAACCTGTCTTCCTGCCCTCTGCTCACCTGCAGAGCTCTTCCATCCCCCCCAGAGCTCCAGGGGCAGCTTCCAACCCTCCTGCCACCCCACCTGCTCCTGCTCACCTACATACCTATGTCATTTCTCCCAGGAGCTCCTAGGGGAGCTCCCTGCCCTTCTATCCTCCATCCTGCATCCTGCTGACCTGCATAGATCTGCTAGCAGCCCCAGAGCTCCAGGGGCAGCTCCCTGCATTCTTACCCTCCCTCCTTCCTCCTGTTTACCTGCATAGCTCTGCTAGCACCCCCAGAACTCCAGGGACAGCTCCTTGCCCTTCTGTCTCCCCACCACCCCTGCTCACCCTCATATCTCTGACAGCTTCCCCAGAGCTCCAGGGACAGCTCCCTGCACCCCTACCCTCCCTCCTGCCTCCTGCTTATCCACATAGCTCTGCAAGCACCCCCAGAGCTCCAGGGACAAATCCCTACCCTCTTGCCTCCCCACCTGCCTCCTGCTCACCCACATTGCTCTGCAAGCACCCCCAGAGCTGCAGGGACAGATCCCTACCCTCTTGCCTCTCCACCTGCCTCCTGCTCACCCACATAGCTCTGCTAGCACCCCCAGAGCTGCAGGGACAGATCCCTACCCTCTTGCCTCCCCACCTGCCTCCTGCTCACCCACATTGCTCTGCAAGCACCCCCAGAGCTGCAGGGACAGATACCTACCCTCTTGCCTCCCCACCTGCCTCCTGCTCACCCACATAGCTCTGCCACCTTCCCCAGAGCTTCAGGGGCAGCTCCCTGAACCCCTACCCTCCCTCCTTCCTCCTGCTCATCCTCATATCTCTGCTAGCACCTCCAGGGCTCCAGGGACAGCTCCCTGCACCCCTACCCTCCCTCCTGCCTCCTGCTTATCCACATAGCTCTGCAAGCACCCCCAGAGCTCCAGGGACAAATCCCTACCCTCTTGCCTCCCCACCTGCCTCCTGCTCACCCACATTGCTCTGCAAGCACCCCCAGAGCTGCAGGGACAGATCCCTACCCTCTTGCCTCCCCACCTGCCTCCTGCTCACCCACATAGCTCTGCTAGCACCCCCAGAGCTGCAGGGACAGATCCCTACTCTCTTGCCTCCCCACCTGTCTCCTGCTCACCCACATTGCTCTGCAAGCACCCCCAGAGCTGCAGGGACAGATCCCTACCCTCTTGCCTCCCCACCTGCCTCCTGCTCACCCACATAGCTCTGCCACCTTCCCCAGAGCTTCAGGGGCAGCTCCTGAACCCCTACCCTCCCTCCTTCCTCCTGCTCATCCTCATATCTCTGCTAGCACCTCCAGGGCTCCAGGGACAGCTCCCTGCACCCCTACCCTCCCTCCTGCCTCCTGCTTATCCACATAGCTCTGCAAGCACCCCCAGAGCTCCAGGGACAAATCCCTACCCTCTTGCCTCCCCACCTGCCTCCTGCTCACCCACATTGCTCTGCAAGCACCCCCAGAGCTGCAGGGACAGATCCCTACCCTCTTGCCTCCCCCACCTGCCTCCTGCTCACCCACATAGCTCTGCTAGCACCCCCAGAGCTGCAGGGACAGATCCCTACTCTCTTGCCTCCCCACCTGCCTCCTGCTCACCCACATTGCTCTGCAAGCACCCCCAGAGCTGCAGGGACAGATCCCTACCCTCTTGCCTCCCCACCTGCCTCCTGCTCACCCACATAGCTCTGCCACCTTCCCCAGAGCTTCAGGGGCAGCTCCCTGAACCCCTACCCTCCCTCCTTCCTCCTGCTCATCCTCATATCTCTGCTAGCACCTCCAGGGCTCCAGGGACAGCTCCCTGCACCCCTACCCTCCCTCCTGCCTCCTGCTCACCTGCATAGCTCTATGAGTACCCCCAGAGCTCCAGGGACAGCTCCCTGCACCCCTACCCTCCCTCCTGCCTCCTGCTCACCTGCATAGATCTGCTAGCACCCCCAGAGCTCCAGGGACAGCTCCCTACCCTCCTGCCTCCCCACCTGCCCCTGATCACCTGCACAGCTCTGCCATCTCTCCCAGGAGCTCCTAGGGGAGCTCCCTAACCCTTCTACACTGCATTCCGCATCCTGCTCACCTGCATAGCTCTGCTAGCACCCTCAGAACTCCAGGGGCAGCTCTCTACCCTCCTGCCTCCCCACCTGCCCCTGCTCATCCTCATATCTCTGCTAGCATCCCAGGAGTTCCCGGGGCAGCTCCCTGCCCTCCTGTTCTGCTAGCTTCCTCCTCTCAGCTGCAGTTGTCTTGCCCTTTGACCCTAGCCTGCTGGACTAAGTAGCCCCTTGCCCCTCCTGCTCTAGGATCCAGTTTTCCATAGTCTGCGAGGCCCATTCAGGCTGCCACATTCCCCCCACATCTCCCTCTGGGCTTCCTGCCAGTCCCACAGCCCTCAACCCCATTCAGCTCCATTCCTGGCCTCACCCTCTTCTTTCAGGCACTGGGCTCTGTCCACCCTCTCTCCAGCTGGCTCTGTCCCACACAGCTGCTGCCCTGCATTGGGCCCTCCCAGAGGAGCTCACTGTCTCTGTCCCTCCCACTCCTGGGAACTCCCTGGACCTTTGCTCCTTCTAGTTGCAGGTAAGTTGCCCTGTGACCAGCAGTCTTGTCCCAGAGCCCTGGTTCCTGTTCCTTGTCCACCAGCTGTGGGGCTCTTCACTGATCCTGTGAACACCCCTCCTCTTGTGCCCCTGTCCCCTGCTCCCCTCATCCCAGGGCCCCTGGCCTCCCCCTGTGACTCTGCCCATTGTCCTGCACCAGACCCTTGGGCCACCTGGGGTACTTTTACTCCCTGAGCTGAGCCAGCCACCTTCCTGTCTCCTGGGCTGAGACCCACTATCCACCCTGAAGCAGCTTGGCCAGGAAGCCTCCAGCCCAGACTCCACCCTGCCCACCGGCCACATGCAACCCTGACTCCGACCTCTAGCTCTTCATGGCTCTCAGGCCATGGCCCATAGCCCAGTGGCCTCTGTCAACCTCTGGAACATCCAGCTCTGTGGGTGAGAAATGCTTCCCTGGCTCCTCAGCTCAGGTGGGGTCATGGCCTGATACCATCTGCATTTCCTACTGCCTCACCTGCTCCTGAGGCTCTTTGGGGCCCCAGAGCCTGATCTTCCCTCAGCTCCTGTAGCTGGTTCTGCTTCCCCCACCTCCCTCCCTCTGCCCTGCTCTGGAGGGACCCCACTCACCCAGAGCAAGGACAGTGGAGGCGGTGCCCCTGCCCTGCCCATTTGACCCCATCTTCTGGAGCTCCTTGTGGCTGTGCTCTGTGCCCAGCCCCTGAGTCCAAGAGTTGGTGCCTGGGCCCTGAGGTGAGACTTGCCCCGCCCCCTGGCCCCACAAAGACTAAGAACAGGATTGAAACCAGTGGCATGGCTTGCTTCTTGGAGTTCCTTTTTTTCTGGGTGATTTCTGTCTCAAGGGGCCTGGGGGAGTCCATACATGGTCAAGGTCACCTCATGTGGGTGAGCAGGGGTGGGGTGAGGCAGCCATCAGGACCCAGAAGATGGTGAGGGAACCCAGCCATCACACATTCTGCTTCCATGGGGATGGCTTCTCCCCAAGTCCTGTGGTCCTCCCATCCCAGGGGCAGCTCTCGCCACCCCACCAGTGTGTGGTGTGGGCACAGGCTGTCCTGCCCACCATCTGTAGCCCAGCCCTGGCTCGTCCCACCCACCTGCTCTGATGGCTCCCCAGGGGACTACAGTCTGCCTCAGGGTCCCTGACTCTTCCCTCCTTCCCTCTGACTCAATACATGGCCTCACTACTGACCAAAGGATGGTGCTGACCCATTGTCAGGGGTCAAGTGGTCCTCCAGAGGACAGATGGAGGTCTGCTGTGTGAGGACAGAGTTCACAGTGGTCACTGGGACCAAAAGTGCCCCTCTGGCTGCAGCATAGAGCAGCTGCTGTACTGCCCTGATGGCCAAGGCCCTGCTATCCTGCTTGAGGGGCTTGGACCTGATAGGGGACTCAAGGCTTGGAAAATTTTAGCCTAAGGTAAAAAGTTAGGAGTCTAGCAAATAATGTGTATGTTAAAGCTTTTGTTTCAGACTACAATAAGGCCCATCCTGGCTTTTGGGAAAAACAGCCAACCTCCTGGGACACTGAGAGAAGATTACCACCTGGGGATATCCGAATCTTTGTTCCAGGGAGAGCAGATGACTACACCTCCCCCTTGGGATCAGCTAACTACCCAGGACAGGGATGTTGCAGCTTCTGAACCTCAAAGCCCTCACTGCACCTTATTTGTCTTCTGCCACCCGTTTAAGATTGGGCTTGGAAAGAGAAGGGAAGATGGTTTGTTAGGGTATGAACACCCCAATCTCGCATCGCCGGCCATCGGAATAAAGCGCCCAGAAAAGATTCAATCGCTGTCATTGCTTATTGGATTTGGTAGTGACAGGCAGCCTGAATGCCAATGTCTTTTCCAGTTACAGACCCAAAGTGTCTGTGTCTCCAGCGCATATAGTTGAGTCACCCATGAGTTCCAGGTCTGGCGTTGGATTGGGGACCTCCTGAGGCCCTCAGAGGTGTGGTAGTAGCCCATGGGCCATTCGACAAAAGGTCACCGGCCACAGCCTTGGTCCCTTCCTAGGCTCAACTCATGGTGAATCTGCCCCATCACCTGGTTGTTCCCCCCGGTGCCCAGTCCACCTCGAGTTCCTATCTAGTCGGTTGCTGTCCAGCTATGCAGGCTGTGAGCATAGCTTATGATTGTCCAACAAGCACATTGATCTACATAATCTGTGGCCAGCTCACCACATTACTGACTTTGGCAAAACCCAGGGAGTATCTAGGCCAGTAGCTGTTTGCCTGTGAAGTGCACTGCCACCTGTAAGACCAAATTTCTGGCAAATCACACTAACCACCTGGCTGCTCATCACTCCTATGATCCCCAAGTTACCCATGCTGGTGATGGGGATGGTGTCAGGAAGACCCACCTCTGGGGGCCATCACAAGACATTGGCACAAGCACTACCATCCACATCCAGGCGGGATGACTACTGTGGTGGGTGAGGCATGAAGGTGGGACCTGGGTGTTCTGTGTACTGGGCTTGGCCAAACTCCAGGCACATGTCCTTCCTGATTCTCACGGCCCTTTCTTCCCAGGCAAATCCTCTCATGTGGGAAGGCTGGCAAGGCTGTTTGCCTTGGGGTGAAACCTTGCTAGCAACCACGTTGGACCTGAGCCTGACTCTTAGAAACTAGGGAAAGGAGATGCTTTGAAGGCTTTCACAGGCCCCTTTTCAGGGCCTTGTCCCCACCCAGGGTGTCAGGGTGTTGGTGGCTGTCTCTGGGTCCACGGCCATGACAGACAGCAGCCTGTGCCACGCCCAGCTCTGCCCCATCTGGGATGCCTGCCAGCATCAAGTGTGTTCCTGCTTGTATCCAGATATTGGAGGGCTATATGTACATGTGATTGTAAGCTATTGTCACCAGACCTCACGTCTCCTAAGACACTGGAAGTGAAGACCAAGCAAAGGGAAACAACGAAGGCTGCTTGCTGTTGGGAGCTACTGAAGCCGGGAGGCGGCCTGTAGCCCTGCACTTGTTAGAGGTCAGGGGCAGGCAGGAGAGTCAGAGGAGCTTTGCAGTTTTATTATGTGTAGGTATGTCATCACTATGTATATATAATAGTATGTGCATACATATAATATACATATAAAATACATCTACATAGTCCACTATATATTTTCATAGGTTAAATGATGCAGAAAAGAGGGGTACCATGAGGGGGCTGGGGAAGATGGACAACTCACAGGAAATGGGCTGTCCATGGGACTCTTTGTGGAGCAGGTTGCTTCCTGGGCCTGTGCTAGTGTCGAGGGTCAGGATTCTCTCTGTCCATGGTCTGGCTGTTGTCCCTCTATATGTTGTCTCTTAGGCCAAACCCTCCCCCAGTAATTTCTGGGTGTGAATGTCCATGAGGATTTCCTGGCAGTACAGATCTGTGGGGGACCCGCGTTTTGCTGACCCTCCTGGATTGTGATGGGCAGGTGTGGGGGTGGGGGCAGTCTGAGGCCAGGGGGAATCCCGCTTGTGGGTGGGTCCTCATTAGTACCCAGACACCAAAACCTGGCTTGGCTCAGCAGGGAATGGGGCCAATTGTGATTGACATCGCAAGTCCACAGGCTTATCTTGTGAGTACAGGATAAAGCACATAAAGATCATAAAGATAAGCACAACAATTAGGGGCCTCTCCTCTCTAACTGAGATAGTTTCTCAAACCATTTGTGATGCAGACCCCAACTCCTGGGGTCCACGTCATTATGGATGAAATATGAGATATTCACATGAACTACTGAGTCCCGTGGAGGAAAAGGGATGTCGTGGCTCTTCTCTCAAGGGGAGCAAAAGCCTTGGCCCTTGCTCCAATGAGCTTTTATTGTCTTACTGGGCCCATGACAAGAAGGTGTTCATTGACTATGCACAGACTCACTTTAGGTGGGTACCTTATACTGAAAACAAAGGAGAGGATGCTGGTAATCACATCACAGAAGAGGGATATTTGCAAATGAAAAGGCATAAGCAGTTGGACTGGTTACACTTAGCCTTGGAAGATTTAGCATGGTTTTGAAGAAGTTGCTTTGCAGTAAATGTCTTCAATTGAGGGTGAGGGAGTTTTAGCAAAAAGCAAGACTCATAGTGGCCTGGGTACATTTCAGGCCTGATTCCCCCTGGGAAAATCTATCCATGGGTGTGGGTCCTGTGCATCTCCCAGTGGGAGCTGGGCCCATGCCATGCAGAACGGCCTCCCACACATTTGTCCCCCAGTAAGTCTTTAGATACAACATCAAAAGTACAGTCCATGAAAAGGAAAAACCCATCAACTGAACTTTATTAAAATAAAAATAATATATATCTGCCTTGTGAAAGACACAGTTAAGAGTGAAAAAAGAACAACAGAAAATATTTCTAAAATATATATTTGGTAAAGGACCTGTATCCAGAATATGCATAGGACTGTGTAATTTCAATAATAAGAAACAAGAACCCAATTAGAAATAGGCAAAATACCTGGATAGACACCTCACCAAAGGAGACATACAGGTGTTAAATGCAGACATGGAAGATGCCCCACCTCTGACGGACCAAAAATTAAGACAATGAAGTACTATTGCGCATCTGTCAGAACGGCAAAAATAAGAATGAGCACCCCGCAACTATGAATGCTGAGAGGACATGGAGCAGCAGGACTGTTGTCTCTCCTGGGCAAGCTTGAAATGCTACAGCCAGTGTAGACAACAGTTGGACAGTTTCTTCAGTATCTAAACCCAATCTTACCACACGGTGCAGAAATCACACTCCTAGATATTTATCTAAAGGTGTAGAAACTCATGTCTACCCCCAAACTTGTGTAACAGGGTGCAGCTGGAAGGTCGGGGGCTCCAAATAGAAACTTGTAATGGGGTCCAGAACTCAGTGTCCAGGAAACATTAGAAAAAAAAATATTTATGTAGGATGTTCTCAACCCACAAGTCTGAGCTAGGGGATGGGACACATGGAGCAAGACCATTGAAAGTTGTTTTGAATAGCAACAGTTTTGCAAATAGCCTCTAGAATGGTCATTTAACATATCTATAACCTTTAACTGGTTTTATAGATATTTTAAGTACTGTGGCCCTGCTTTGAGCCAGGGGGATGGGAGTGACTTCAACCCTTGATTTAACTGGGAAGCAACTCCACCTGGTTATAGAGCCTGTGTAAGAGCTTAGAGATGATTGGTGCCACACCTGCCTGGACTTATTATGGCAGCCCAGTAAAGCTGGAAAAATATGGGAACCCTGGCAGTTGTGGCCAGTTGTGGGAGGAATTGGAAATGGTGCTGCAGAGGAAGAGTGGCACCTGGGTTTAAGCCCAGGGAGAGAAGCCATGCAAGGTCTTTTTGGGATCACACGGCCTGGGCAGAGAAGAACCATGTGGCTTTAGCAGGGGTGAACCATGTGGCATTAGAGTGCAGCCTTTTTGCCATGTGGCTTAGGAAGCAGGAGAGACTTTTCCTGGAAGGAAAGGGATGAAAGGACTCTTGCTGGGGGGCCAGGAGAAGGTGTCAATTGGGTTTGGATTAACTGGAGATTGCAGTGAAGATGCAGCTGATGGTGCCAGAACCAAGGAGCTGCCTGAGCCATGGACTTCTAGTCTTTTTTCTGAGATATGGTACCCTGGACTGGGCAGAGGAGGAAGGAAGGACTGTGAGTTTGTGAGTATCCTAAAAGACTTTGGAATCTCAATGAGGACATCAAGTCATTAATCTTAAATTTGTATAACTCTTTAAATAAATAGCCCCTTTCTGTTTCACCAATCTCTGACATTGAGAGACATCTTTCCCTGGTGGCGG